GAATACAAAAAGCAGTAGAGTACAGCAGGTTGGGTGTAAGGACAAATACTCGTCAAAGATGACATGGGTTAGTGGTGGCACTATGTCGTGAATTGGCCATTGGATCGGGTGTCAGTGGCTTTATTGGTTTAAAACTCGTCTTTAACCTGAAGGTCATGGTTCGAACCCTGGTGGCTGGTGTGTACTGCTGAAGAGTCCCAAACCAGGCTAACTAAACAGCTGTCCAGTACACTCAGTTGGTTGGTTTTCTAACCGATGTCAGTTCATGCTGAAATCTCGTAAACAATGTTTCGCTTTGTTATATATCCAATAAACCTATTCATCATATGAATTATCGAATTTCACCATACAGATGTTCATCTTACTGACCAGATTAGCAACCTAAATGTATTCCCCTGTTAACAAACAATGAAGTTTCCAAATATTTTCCGAATTTAATTCACTTTTCACTCTCTCTCTCAATATTCATGCATTATTTTTTGAGCTTAGCCAGTGAATGACTGTTATTCTCAAATCCCTAGTCTCAGAAGAACTCTCAATTTCTAATCCGTCACTCTACCATATTATTATCCCTCCTATTCGTTCCGAGTGAGACACAGGGTTCCAGCAGCATATCTCCATTTCAGCCTGTTCTCTTAGGTACAAACTAGCTGGCTCAATGATTGCCCACTCTTTTCATGTTACCCTCAGACGCCTAAATCACTATTTCTCTCTCGCATTGCATTCCAGAGCCTGTCTTGCGCCTAATGTCACCCAATGGTCTACTTGACTTATGTCTAGCCTACCTCTGTTTTCGTTAGCATATTTGCAGGGCAGTAGATTCTTGGTCGATTCGTTTACAGAGTTCCTTGGAGCTTATTTTTCTGATCGACTATCTGATCTTCAGAAATGAGGGAGTGAGACAACTTCTGATGGATGTCTGCAGCCTATTGCAAATGCTCTCCGTGATGAGCTGTACCATGTGAAGTATTAAACCCAAGTGCTTATCCAGTCATCATTTCGCTGCATGGTATCATAATGGGTGATACTCGTCTTTCATGTGAATGAATGGAATTCTACTCTCCGATTTCGTAAATTAAATTGCAGTTCAAAGATAAATTTGCATTTTATTGACTGATTACTACTATTGTTTACTTGGGTTCTGAGTGAGATATAGGACTTCAACAGCCTGTCTCCATTTTGTCCTTTTTTCTAAGATTATCTTAAGCTGGCTTCATGACTGTTCATAGTCTGTGATTTCCTTCTCTCACGGCCTCCTCCATGTCACCCTCAGACGCCCAACTCGTCGTCCTGCATTCGGGTTCCACTAAAACAATAGACTGGCGTGCGATGTCATTTCACAGTCTTAGCGTGCACCCAATCCATCTCCACTTTCCTCCACATAACTGTTGAATAATAGGTTCTCAGTTGACTTGTTTCCAGAGTTTCCTGTTGTTAATTCTTTCTCGCTGACCATCTGATCTTCGATATGAAGCCAGCAAAGACAGCAGTTGATAAAAGCCTGCAGTAGCCTATTGAAAACGTTCTTCATGATGTGTGACAAGTTTCTGATATAACGTTGGAGTTAAAAATCGGAATTTTATTCATTATGCTGAGTGCAGCAAATTTCCAAAATGACATCACAGTGATGAAGATGTACCTTGACGTTTTGCTTCTGAAATATCCGTCCGTTCCAGCTGTAGCTGAAACGATGCTTCCCAGATAAGTGAAAAAGGTAACCGCTTTCAGATTTCCCCCCAGTGATAGTGATTAGTGCTTGTTATTGCTACTGCTGCCAAGTAATTCACAACGGGAAACTTACGGAATCCTTCGAAGTGAGGACAGGAGTAAACCAAACTGGCTGCCTACTATCACCACTGATTTTCCTGATTGCAGTAGACTGGATAATGCGACAGAGAGCGGGCAATGAGGAAACAGGCATAAAATGGACTCACACAAAAAACTTGGAAGATCTGGACTTCGCCGATGATATATGTCTGATTTCCCACAAACTGGAAGATATCCAAGCGAAAAGCAACAAGTTGGCAGAAGAAGCATCAAAGATAGGACTTCAGGTGAACATAGAGAAAACAGAGGTGATGAAGATTCCTGGGCAACACCGCCAACAGCAACAACAACAACAACAGACAATAATCAGCATAAATGGGAGGAACCTGAAAGAAACAACCTCTTCTACCTACCTGGGAAGCATCGTTTCAACTACAGGCTGACAGAATTGATGAGGATATCAAAGCAAGACAAGCTTTCACTACTCTCAAGTCTGTGTGGAGGTCAACAGAACTCAGCATGAAAAATAAGATCCGGATTTTCAACTCCGATGTGAAGTCAGTCAGTGCTACTTTACGGATGAGAGACTTGGCGCGTCATCAAGAGCATCTCAAACAAACTACAGACATTCATTAACAGCTAGTTGTCTTCGCTCAGTACTCAAGATCAGATGACCAGAAAAGATCAGCAACAGAGATCTCTGGGAGCGAACCAACCAGGAACCGATTGTGAAACAAATAGGCAGGAAGAAATGGAGATGGATTGCCTGGCCATACTCTGAGGAAACCATCAAGTGACATCACTAGACAAGCCATTGCTCGAGTGGAACCCGGCCGAAAGGGAAGCGGCGAGTTGGTCGTCAGTGCAAGGATGACTTGGAGGAGGTCATGTGAAGAGGAGATGAAAGCGTGTGGGCAGACATGGAGCCAGGTGAAGACTCTAGCAGAGAACCGAACTCAATGGAGACGCACGGTTGAAGCCCTATATTCCTCTAGGAATTAAAGGATACAACAATAATAATAATATTCACTGGCCCTAACTCTAACAAAAAACAACTAATACTCATTTCACATTGGGACAGCTCCATCAAGCACTGATATTTGTGGAGGTAGTTACTAAGGTCTAGTCCCAGGGAAATTATCACTCCTCACTAGGGATGCTGGCATATCCATTTGACGGAGCTTAAATAAGACGAAAGGCGAGCTCTTGATTCAACCACCTACCACAAAACATCAAGTTTTAATTTGTAGGGATTTGATTTTTTTCAAGTTTCATCATGGAATGATGTTAGTTAGAGATCTGTTGGAAGTCAGAGAGTACTGAACAGATTTTTGTTCTAGTTTGGGCATGTTCATTAGTCTCTACCCACCACCTGACCTCTCATTTTCAGTTTACGAGGCAAGCTGGTCGACTGCTTAGCCACTTGAACGGAATTCAGTGGCAAGCTCATAGGTTTTATTTTCTCTTTAATTTGAAGATTTTTGGCGGCAGCGCCAGTTAATGCTATCGCGGAGTATCTCTATCCTTACACCCGACATGTTAGACCTCACTTGTCGTGATGTCTCACCAGAACTCAAGGTGAACTCGCCCTATGGTTGATCATTCTCTACTTTCATTGTTCTGGGTTCGACCCCCAGTGAGGTAAGGGTGCGTAGATGGCAGTCGCAAACCAGGACGAAACAATTCCCCAGTACCCCTGATTTTCAGTGATTCTCTAACTGATCCCTGAGCAAGCTCAAATAGCACCATGTTAATTATTATCGCATAAAAAACACAAAATAATCGAGCAAAGAATATTATTTTCGATATACACAGAATATTTTAAATTAGTAGTTAATAACAATATTAGAATTTTTTAAATAATATCGATATTGTCGATACATGGATGATACTTTTTTGATTATGAAGAACGAAAAGGAGGCAAAGAACATCCTGGATAAATTTAATGAGGTACATCCTGCAATAAATTTTACTATTGAGAAAGAAAAAGACTCTAGTATTTCATTTTTAGACGTCCTTATGACCAGAAAAGAGGATGGCACAATAAGAAGAAGTGTTTATAGAAAACCTACATCAACGGGCCAGTACACACATTTTCTCAGCTTTGTGCCCTTGAAATACAAACGCAATCTAATAAAGTGCTTGGTCCACAGAGCAAGAGAGATTCGCTCGGATGAATGTCTTGACGAGGAACTTAACAATATTAAACGGTTGCTAAGTGAGAATGGTTATCCCGAAAAGTTTATTGATAAGAATATGAATCTAAAACCAAAACAGCCCAAGTTACCAACAGTTCCAAAGAAAGCCTTGTTCTTACAGATGCAGTTCCTAGGAGACAACACAAGTGAGATACTAACACATCGCCTTAGAAATGAGGCGGTAAAAAGAGCATTCCCTGCTGCTCAATTACGCTGTATCTTTCAAACCACTCCTCTTCTGCGTTCGGGAATAAAAGACAAACTGCCTAATTTCGCCTCTTCCATGTGTATATACCAATTTAACTGCTCCTGTGTAGTGAGCCAGTTACTTGCATAGGCCGTACAATTAGGCGTGTTTCTCGTCGAATTTCCGAACATCACCCTGCCTGGTTGGTTAAGCAAAGGTCAAACAAAATCTATTCACAGCGCTATTCTGGCTCATCTTGTGGAGACAGAACACAAGATTGACGTCAATCATGCTTTCAGGGTCATTTACCGCATACCTACGAATCTCAATTTCGCTTTAAGAGTTCGACTTCTAAATATTGCTGAGGCTGTGGGGATTCATATTAATAAGCCTAATTTATGCACCCAAAAGAAGTTAGTTCAGTCATTATCATTAATTACCTTGGCCATCCAGGTTTGAATAATCCAGAATTTTTGTGAAATTTCCCTAATTTTAGTTGATATTCTATTCGCTGTTATATCTTTATTATTTCTATTATAATTTAAGCATCTTTAATGAACTGTAATTCCATTGATCATTTTTTACAAATCGATATTATTTAAAAAACGCTAATATTGTTATTAACTACTAATTTAAAATATTCTGTGTATATAAACATATAAATAATTGTAGAGCCTGGAAGAGGAATTTATCGAAAAGAATATTCTTTGCTCGATTATTTTGTGTTTTATAGATGTCTGAATGAATATTTTTGCTATATTATCGCTTATTCAAATAATTATGTAATAACATAGTTAAACCGTACTCAGTTTTCCTTTGTTTTATATTTCATTCTTTTTTTATTTTAGATATTTTGGATATTTATGACATAAGAAAGTGTTTTTATTTCACCTCGAATTTTCTCTTGCAATTTGTCAAAAACAGTTCAAATCTCTCTCTGTATAAACGAAAATAAAGAACTGCCAGAATGGTATTTACTGCTGGAGTGGTTGGGATAGTGATCTTCTATCTTGTAATATTGTTTGTTGGATTATGGGCTGGAAGAAAAGCCAAACGTTCAGATGAAGGTGATACAGAGGAAGTCATGTTAGCTGGCAGAAATATTGGCCTGATAGTCGGGATATTTACAATGACAGGTATGTTTTTACATTAAAGCAAAATAAATGTTTGTAATGATTCTGGTTAAAATGACTTTTAATTAAATACATATGTCTTAAACACGCTGGGATTAATTTAAATAATTTATAATGAATTATAATCATAGTTAAATGTCAAGTGGCAAAACAACTCATAGGATGTAAAGAACTTGGAAGAGGTGTGCAATTATAAGATTAGTAGGTAGATCGAATAAAATAAAAACGTTACGTAACATTGTGTGAAACTGAATAACGTAGAATTTAACGTTGCAAAACAGAATTGATTCAGAATGACAAGTGGAACGAGTGAAATAATACCAGAGACAGTTCAAAGTGAGAATCATAGTAATAGTAACAATTGACATCGTAATAAAGGAAGAGTATACAAACTGAATATGATTAAGGATTATCATACTTTAGCATAGAGGGATTAAGACCATGAAATGGAAGTTGAAGGGATTGAACGAACTTTTTTCTGTACACAGAGATCTGGCTTTTCTATTCCGATAGCCAAAGATGGCTTCAGCAATACAGATGAATCGGGTAGGTAGAGATTTGGACAAATTACTTTTCCCCTTGCAGATGACTTTAAAGGCGGAGGCTGTAGAGAAAGGGTGATCATTATCAACCTGAATTTCAATGATAGCGCTTCTTACTGCTCCACCTCCACCTCTTCGTAACCATCCCTCATTATTATTATTATTGTTCCCTTGGGTTCCTAGTGGATCATAGTGCTTCAGCCGCACGTCTCCACTTGTTTCTGTCTCCTACTGTACTTTTCACCTGCATCCATGTTAATCCATACTGTTTCAGCTCCTCTTCACACGATCTCCTCAATGTCACCGTTGGACCTCCCACTCGCCGCTTCCCTTTCGGATTCCACTAGAGCACTGGCCTGACGCGCGATGTCACCCAGCGGCCTCCTCAGCGAGTGTCCAATCCATCTCCACTTCTTTCTCCTGCATATTTGTTGAGCGATTGGTTCTTGTTTTGTTTGTTCCCATAGTTTCTTGCTGGTGATTCTTTCCGGCCATCTGATCTTCAGTATAGAACGAAGACAGTTGTTGATGAAGGTCTGCAACAGGCTGTTGGAAATATTCTTTGTGACCCGCCAAGTTTCTGATCCGTAAAGAAGAACTGACTGACTTGACGTTTGTATTGAAAATCCGAATTTTGTTGTTGATGTTGAGTGATGAAGATTTCCAGATTGGTTTCAGGTTGATGAATGTGTTTCTCGCCTTCCCTGTTCTCGATTTGACATCCTCGTCCGTTCCTCCTGTAGTTGAGACAATGCTCCCTAGATAAGTGAATGAAGTAACCTCTTTCAAATCCCTCCCGTTGATGGTGATTGGCGCTGAATGTTGCTGCTGTTGTTGTTGGTTGGTTATTTTCATAACCTCCGTCTTGTCTATGTTCACCTGCAGTCCTGTCTTCTCTGGCTGCTTCTTCGACCAGTTTGTCGGTTTTCGCTTGTAAGTCTTCGATTTTGTGTGCCATCAAACATAAATCATCTGCAAAATCCAGGTCTTCTAGGTTCTTCACGTCGGTCCAGGATATCCCTGTCTTCTCGTTTCCCACTGTCTGATGCATAATCCAGTCCACCACAATTAGGAATATCATTGGTGATAATAAGCACCCTTGTCTGACTCCTGTGTTTACCATTCCTCACCGGATATAATTCCTTAATATAAAACCATATATATATATATATATACGGTTGTACAGCTTGATAATATGTGTCTGTTTAACTATTGTGCTTCCGTTATAAGTAATATTTAGGACATTTATTTATTGTTCTAGTTAATTAGTTTATTATTCTAGCACAGATTACTGCTGCTCATAATTATATCAAAGCACTCGCATCAATTTCAATCTTCTTCCATCTAATCCCCTTATTTCCCATCCTTTGAATAATTTTTTGTAATAATATTTTGTATTTCTCTCTAGTATTGGAGTTGTATCATACCTAGTAAATGTCATAGGCGTAAATGAACAAAGATTTGCTGACCAACCTCTGTCCCTGCACCTACCTATATTACTTCGTTGAACTGTAGGTCTTTCCTGTCTTATGGTGTGATCGTTTGTTAATGCATGCGCCACAATTGCTGATTTTCTCTCTTCAAGCCTTCCATATTCGTGGGGTCAATCATTCCACATTTAACTATATTCCTATGTTCCGATAACTTGACTGACCCCACTCTACTGTTGCGATCTATGTATGTATCGTTGTCCGTTACAGTCAACGCCTAACACGTGAAGCTGGAGAATGATGCAACGCTATCACCAGAAATACGGAGAATAATACTATCAATACAATCAAAAGATAAGAAATAATAGAATTATGTAAACTAGGTTTGAAAGTTGTGTAAGGGACATGTTATGATTATAGGCAATCAACTGGGCTCGAGACGTGGTCATCATTATATAACCAATATTGTATACTGTATACTTTTATTACATAAATTAATTCTATGATGGAATTAGACTTTTCTACCTCAGTGCCCTTATATCAAAGGTGATTTGATTTTCAGAGAACTAATCTTCAATGGTCAAGACTTCCCACTAGAACCCAGGTAACTACCTACGTGCGTCGGTGGCACAGTGGTTAGGACTCTCGCCGACCATGCACATGGTCCGGGGTTCGATCCCCTGCCGGCGCACACCCGATATCTATGGTCGGCCTGGATTTGGGCTACCGATATCCATGCTGAAAATTCCATACTTGTACTGAAAATACGGGGTGGAATCAAGCTGTAAATCAAAATAAATAAATAAAATAAGGCCAGTCACATCAGTTAGAGAACTATTGAAAAGCCACGTGAAAGTACTGGACAAATGTCTCGTCAGCCCAGTGTGGGACTCTTCATCAGTACGTACACACCATCAGGGTTCAGACCCACGACCTCCTGGTTACAAGGGGAACGAGCTCATAGACCACTAAACCCCTGGGACCTGATTTTAATTGCCCATGAATGCTAACTGGGTACCTCTTGTACGACGGGTCTTATTAATTATTTAATTCAACTTTAGATTTTCCCGTAGATTGATTGGACCCAAATTCCATTAAATAATTAATATGACCCGATGCACAAGAGGTGGTTCTCGTAGCTCAAGTGATCAAGTGGATAACGCTTTGGCGTTGGAAACTATCGACACTGGGCTTGAGCCTCGGTGGGAACATCATCACTCACTGCGGAATGCAGATTCATCCAACTGGCAAGTAACAGATAGGACGAAATGCTCTTTATCCTGGATTCCACTGCCAGCCACCGTCCACCAAATTATCCTCTAATTACATGCCCAGACATCGTCGAAGCATCTGCACAAGAAGCCGACGTGTCAACCTGGGACTGACCACTTCGGTCCAATCAATCGACGGGGAAATCTAAAATTCAATTAAATAATCAATAGGCTAGCCTTGTAACCTGAATGTCCAGGGTTCGATCCTTAATGAGTAGAATCATGGGATAGTACCTCTGAAAAGTCTCAAACCAGGTGGAAACAGCTGTCTGGTACTCCGTGATTCTCTAACCGATATCAGTTCGAAAGTCAAACTGTAGATATTCAATTTGTTGTTTTTTTTATTTGATCATTGATTGATGTCAGTTAGAGAACCATTGACAAACCAGTCAGTCAGGAATACTGAATGGCTGTTTCTTTCCAGTATGAGACTCTTCAGCAGCAGTACACGCAACCACCCGGTTTCCTACCTAAAATTCCCCATCTAGCCATTGAGAACTGGTCCAACTTCACCCATTCATGATTTTTAGGGCCTTCACCCTCGACCTTGTGGACCTCAGTGGTCTTGACTTCTCACGGGTTCGAGCCCCGGAGCACCTACCTGTACTGCCGAAGAGTTTAATACTCTTTGATGGCTTTGAATGATACTCGAACTGAAATCAATCTGTTATCAAACTTGAAACAGGTGTCAGTTCGTGCTCGAACTAGAAATCAAGCGAATTCCTACAGTCCGATATTTAAATCAGTTCACTAAATAGAGCCTGATGGGGAATATCGAATATTCATGAATATATATATATATTAAGCAAGCGAATTATTCTAACTATTCGATAAACGAAAGACAGTAAGGCGAATATTATATATATATTTATGTTATATAAAACTCGAATTCTGATTGGATTTCCTATCTGTTCCTTCTTCGTCTTCTTCCTTCTAAATTCATTAGTATAACCTTGAAAGTAAGAAGAAGAAGTTAGTAGGATAGATGAATTTGGGAAATTCTTTTTTTATTGATTTTTCACAATTGATAAAGACAAAAAAAGGAAGATGAGAAGTAATTTTGACGTTTAGAAATTATTTTTTTTTTCTCGAATAGGAAGTAGAGGCAGTTAAAACAAAACTCTTCAATGAAGCATTTATAAAATTAATGTGATATGTGCGTTTATCAGTCGGACGGATTACTTCTTTCCTTTTCACGTGGAAAGGAGTTTGTCCTCTCTCCCCCACTCTCTCATTCTCTCTGTGTCCTTTGAAGCTATCTTGATGAATAAACTTTGAGTAAATTTCTTTTGAGTTATCCCACAAATAATTTAGCAAAACCTACACTATTTACTGTGATATATTTTGACAGTTTGAACAAGGAGAAATGTCAGAATCCTATTCTTGATGTTAATAATGCGTTAACTTAGCTTTTAGTTACATCATTAAGCGAAGATATATTTGATGTTGGATGGCTTGGAGGCGACTGGCAGGATGCTGTGACTAGACCTAGGCTTTGTGCTTGTTGGTGCTTGTTGGTCAGTAAGGCGTAGGTACAATCTTGAAGGAACTCACTTCCCTTCAGAGAGATTCAAACCTCCACCTAGCATGGTAGCTACATTGTATACTTGACTGGCAGAACTCGGTCTGCTTCAAAGGAAGGACTTAACGCATGGCTTTAGTTGCTCTACCTAATGTCCTATGAAAGCGCACGCTTTCCAAACGCATCTCTGAACATTATCCGGCATGGTTAGCAAAAGGAAAATGTAAGACAGTTGCTA